TGTAGAAGTCCAGGTACAACTTAACCCCCAGAGTCACGGCAGGTGTGACTGTCCTAGTACGCTGTATCAGAAAGGTGTGACCGCAGAGGTCCTGGGGAGTGACTTAAAAGATTACCAAGCCTCTGGGACTGAAAAGTCTGACTACTACACTGAGGTCCTGATATTTCTCGCCACTTAGGCTCTTATGCTCAGATTCATTTCCTCGCCCCTGACCAAATCAAAGGAGGCCATATTGTCTGGATGAAAAGGAGAAGGGTTTACTGAAGGCTCGCATGGTGGAGCTGAAGGCCCATGTGCCTCAGGTCACTGTCTCCCCATGTGCAGGTGGCCAAGGAACTTTCGTAGGAAGGAGCAGAGGGGAACACAGAGAAACAATGTTGAGCTACGCACTTGCTTAATTATTTCCAGCATCTGCAGCTCCGGCCTCCTGGGGCTGCTGGCCTCCGCATATTCTGTCCATTATTCTGGGCTGAGAAGACCTGGGAAAGTCTTTATGACTTAAGCCCGAGGAAGGCTGGAGAAGCTATTTGTTTCTAAAGAAAAATCCTAACTTGTAAAGTTCCACTTTACACAGTTGGTTACACTGCTTAATCTATACAACCAAGATGTCTGCGGTCGTGGTCAGCTTAGACCTGACTTGCACAATCACAAGAGCAAATCATCTCCCCCTGATCTGTTCCCCAGACCTGGAGCAGCCCCTGGAGTCTAGCTGCACTCAGAGGTGAGTCCTGCATGACCAGGAGATGCCTGCCTTCCCTCTACTCTTTTCCCAGAGGCCCCAGGTTGGTCACCAGGATGCCCATAGCTTCAGAGATAGCGGACAGGACTCTGACCCAGGATGCTAGCACAGTCCATGACAAGTAACATAGAGAACCCAAGTGTTGATCCAGTGTCTGGCATGCACAGCAGGTTTGAGTGCTTTCTGTGCTGAGTTCCCGTCCTTGAGGGAGGGCTTGAGAGGGACAACCCAGCAATGGCCTCAGCTCTCAGATGATAAGCTGGTTGGGGAGCCAAGGCAGGAAAGCCAAACAATAAAGGCAGCAAAGCCAAACCAAAATCAAACCCTGAAGACCCTAGCAGTGCAGGAATCCAAAGCAACATCACATCACTAGGGAAACCACAGAGAGAAGTGCACCGCCAGGCCCTTGGGAGAATGGCAGGTAGTGACCGCAGTCACATTCCCCACTGGTCTAACTCATTTCATCCACTTGTGACGTAGACCTGGATCAAGACAGAGGGTTCTCAGCAGCTCAGTTAGGCCTCCTTTTGAACACTGAGGGCAGCTCCTAACACCCAATAGGGTGTAATCTGTTTGCTCAATGTATCCCACTGTACTCAAAACACTGAGCCCAGCCAGGGTGGGTTCCCCCTTCATTCAGTATCTAAGGAGAGCTCATGTCATGTCCTGAGGAGGAAGATACAGTCCAGAGGATCTTTGATTGCTTTATTGTCGCCAGGTTCTACTCTGGACGATCACACTGCTGACATGACACAGGTAGGCCTGGTGGTAGGTAAATAGTATGCAGGCATCATAGTAAGAAATGTATGTGCCAGAAAGAGACTCAGATGAGAATGTACGTATTTATCTTTCCAATTATTTACTTCATCTTCCTGCTCCAAGCTGGAATTCACATGTCCCACGTGAACAATGACTACAGCTGTCTTAGTCACCACCACCATTCCAGCCTAGTCCTGGCACCTTCACAAAACAAGGCCAGCATGTCTTCTCGTGCCTCATCTAAAGAATGCAGACATTTTATAGCAGCCACCCCTCCAGGTAGGGACAAAGATTTTACTGCCAAGCATTACAATGCAAAAAGATTTTGAATTCTTCTAAAGTAAGATTTGATGTGAAATCATTTGGAGAAAGAATGGGTTGGAACAGATAATAGAATTCTAAATGTCCTTGTTTCCAGTGACTTTTGTTTCGATAGTCTCCCATTTATGACAAAGGACAGAATAATTACTTACTTTGAGAGACTCGAGGAAAATGTTGGTCACACAGGGCAATGATGAAGTTCTGTTGTGTATTTGTTGTTTGCTTTTACCATTTAGTAATGAGCAAACAGTTCATGCATCATCAAGATGATGCATCATTAATAAGACAGGAGGTCAAGGGAATGAAAGAAAAGAGTAAACTATGACAAAAGGAATTGGTAAGTGACACGCACATAGAGACGAGCTGAATGGAAGTAAAATAATAAAAAGTTTATTTTACCAGCAAAGATCGATCACATTCAAAACGGCAGTGGCAGTGATCAACCTCCTATTGGGTTGCAGCTTCTTGTTTTATAGGTTTTACAGCTATGGTCTCATTCAGGTGGTTACATTTCATTTCGTCAGTTCACATTATCTATGCACAAATTACAGTAACAAGACGGTTCACTTTAATGCAGACATAATAATTCCTTGTAGTTAGGGAGTTTACCTCAAGATTCATCTAGCTATCTATCCTATGCACAGGAAGGGGGTATTCAAGGTTAGGGATGAGGCCAGATGTCTTACTTCATGGTCAGTGCCTCCAGTGTCTGTTAATTTTGAACTAAACAAAGCAGATTGCTGTTAGAGACAGCAGAAGTCATTTTATATTTTCCTACCATTTTGTAGGTTTTTAGCTTATTTACAAAAGTTCTCTCTATCAAAACAAAAAGGAAACATCACTGAGCTATTACTTCCTATCAGATTTTGTTACAGGAAGCCATTAATGGTAAGAAATATGTAATGGTTTTTTGCCTATTCAAAATAAGTTGGTGAAGAATTTTTACTAAAACTTAAATTGCATTCTTTTAAAGCTTCTAACAAGAGACAGAACGAGTGGAAACAACTAAGTACAATATTCCAGCAGAGAAAAGTGTACACAATAAACCAGGGATGGGCCATCACCAGTGCCAGCACAGGGCAGTGAGTCTCTCTGAGGACGAATTCCAGCCTGGCAGCTCCCCCACACCGCTGCTCAGACTCCCCCTTTCCTGCCCTCATACCGTTGTCTCCTACTCCTAACTCTTTGGGTCTGATGATTGCAGCTACTCGTTCCTTATCTGCTGTCCACGCTGAGCTGAGGGCTACACTTGTTACAGGGATGATCTCAGCTCCAGCACGTACCCCACGGTTAATGTGGGTGGAAGGAAAAGGTGATCGGAAAGAGGACATGTGGCCCCTCCCTCCAGCAGAGCTCTGCCAGGATTCAAGGAAGTGTCGCTGCTTGCTCCTGGTGACTCCTGCGATTCCATCTTCTGTGAGAGAGATTTTGGCGAACTCTTGTTCTTTTCGAAAGCTAAGGGAGGAAATAAAAAATGCATCAACCTGAAAAATGCTAGACATGATGATGCCTGGGTAGTGGCATTACATTCATTTTACACGTTTTGTATTTTTCCAAAAATAAGGAAGAACTTGTTATAAAAATGTATTTCCCCTCAATGTTGCGCAGGGCTAGAAACACTCGAAACACGAAGCAGCCGTGATTTTGAGTCCACAGAAATATCTGAGTGTGAGATGTTCCTGTGGAGTTGCCCAAGTCCCTGAGGCCACCTGGAATGGGTGGGGGTCTCCCTCACGAAGCCTGTGATGGCCGTGAAGGGCACAGGAAGCTGACGTCACTGACCCGCGTCAGTCACTATCCATCCGGTCTCCTCGAAGGCCCCCTACCTCTTTCTATCCTACATGCGAGCCTGTAGGACACTTGGCCATTTTCTGAGCCCTGCGACTCATAAATTTCAGGGATTTCATCTTCTTCCCTGACTCGGACAATTCTCCTCCATACCAGTCCTCTTACGCCTCAAAGCAATCACTTTGCTTCCCTTTCCTGGGGATGATCCTCTTTTTAGTTGAGGATTTACAGAAACAGAGACTTGTCTTTAGGCACTTTTTTTAAATCTTCATTTTGTTCTTTAAGACGTGTACACAGCCAAGGATTTTTGGCAGCCAGTGCAGAGAAAAGCTTTCAGCTAGGTGCTGGAGTTGAAAGGAAGTCACAACGCAACTGGAACCACCGGCCACTCAAAAGGATAAACAGCCGGCTAGAGCCAAGCACAGATTGGTACCGGCTTTTTTGTCATCTCTTTATTGTCTCCAAATGGTCTGTACATCTTTTCACTTTCTCTTTATTTTCTTCCCATGTCCTAAACCAGCATCCTTAGCCCTTTCTTCCAAATGGAAGCAGACAGATTTCTTTCTTCCTATACAGTTTGCTTAGCCAGGATGTCATAGAGTTTTTGTTTCTCTCACAAAGCAAATTAGAAATCTGAAATATCAGGTAGATCGATGTGTTAAAAGTTCTTGTCAGGTAGGGGAAGAGAGATGATTCCACATCTTTCCACACAGGAAACACAACAGAACTCGGTGCTGTTGGGTTCCAGAAGATACAAATCTCACCAATTGCAGTCCTGGTATTCCCACAAAATATCTGTCTTTCCAAAGTTTCCATAAGAAGCACCACCTTGTGTAAAATAGTGAAAGGGTGTCACCACTCCCCGGCAGGATCCCTCCTTTCAGGCTGAGTTGTTAACTCCTGAAAGCTTGCACAAGCATTTCGCTCCTAAGTACCCCTGATCTCACGGAAGAAGTCCCTGATCTCCCTCCGTGAGCTAGTTTGTCCAATGCAGCACAGCCCAGGCCAGCTTCCCTCATCATTGCCACAGTGCTGATCTATTCCATGCAAGAGAGGAAGATCATTGAGGAAGAAGAGCAAGGAGACGTGGAGCTTTCAGAATCCTCTACCTTGGGAGGATCGAGAGGAAGCATAGAGAAGCCACTAACAGCCTGCCAACACCCCACTCCTGCTCGCCTTCCATGTCTTTGCTTTCAGCTAGGTGGAGACACTGATGCCTAAATCTCCTGTTTTCAGGAGCCCAGGAGGCACATGAATAGTATGCATTAGACACACATTGTATTGTGCACATTTGTGCTGGGGTAGAAGTCGGGATACAGAAGTTTTCCTCTTACACAATCTCTCCTCTTAGATTGATGCTGTAGGAATGACTTACCTCTGTTTCAGTTTCCTCATGATTAAAATGAAGGAAATAAAGAAGCCTAGAATTCCTAGGATTGTTGAAAGAGAAGCAACAGATACTTGGACAAGATTGCAGACCCAGGAATGTTGAAAGAAAAGGTCAGAGAATTTTTGAGTACTTGCATGAATATGAAGTAAAAGAAAAACTAGTTTATAAGTTACAATTGGAGGTTTCAGACTTGTCTAGGTTTTGCTACTCCTTGTTTTTCTCTTTGGCTTCTAATTTGAAATTATATATGCATATATATAAATGTCAAATGCCACTAGGAGTAGCTGGAGTTCTGGGAGAATATTTTAAAAATAGTAGAGTTCTATGAAATGTGTAGGGCTTTTTTGGGGGGGTTAAGGCATGTGATTTACTTCTGCCATTTATCATTCTTTTAAATTTTACTTTGTTGTGCCAAGAACACTTGACATGAGATCTGGTTCCCTTGACCAGTCGAGGGTACAACACAGTAGTGGTAGCCTACGCTTCTATCAGTGCTGAATCTGACATCTGTTCTCCACCTGTAGTCTCTGTTTTCCATCTGAATTACCGGTCACCACCTGCTCTTTGCCACCTTTTGTGCCCCAGCCTTTACCATGTGCCTGGCCAGGGTGACTGGCCTGGGTCTTCTTCCTTTAGAAACCACCTTGCCAGTGGCGCCAGGCAGAGTTCAAGACCGTATTTTCCCGGGGAGCATGAGAAATCATGTAAAAGCCACTGCCACGCCAAAACCAAGACAAGAGTTTTATAATAATACTAAAAGTTAGAAGTTCATAATATTTTTAAACTTGTATAGATCTAGCTGTTTTACCTAAAAGAAAGTCTCTGAAACTTCATCAGTTTTAAGATGAAGCTTAAACTCTGTTACAAATTTAAAATACAAAGGAGACAGACTGTTATCTAAGAATGTTTGACCCGGTTATTTATTCTTTCATTCATTTATTCTACTAATTTCAGGTCACATATCACAAACGAGATGCTCCTAGGATTCTAAGTGCACCAGGCACTGCATCATAAAGAGCAGCACTGCTTTGAAAAGCTCACGAAAAGTGACAGGTTAGTGAATGCAAGCCCATGGGACCTGGAAGGCAAGGGAGGTGATCTAGAGAACACCCAGAAGGCCTTCCTGGAGTAGTGACTGTTTCTTTCTCCTGTCAATGTTCATCAGTGTTTTGGTGGGGAACAAAAATCTGTGGAGGCCAAGAACAATGATGCCATGCCAACAGATAAGGACAAGGACATTTATTAAAAGAAATGAAACATTTACTTCCAAATGGTAGCAGTAGAGCCAGGCGTGGTGGCACACACCTGTAATCCCAGCACTGGGAGGCTGAGGCAGGAGCATCACTGCGAGTTCAAGACCAGCCTGGGCTACATAGTGAGTTCCAGGTCAGTCTCAACTGCAGAGTGAGACCCTGTCTCAAAAACAAAAACAAAAATGGTAGCAGTAGAAAGGTGATATACTTATTAGGCTGTGGCAAGAGTTCAACTGGAGACTAAGACAGGTAGCACATGGGCCATACAATGGAAATGCCCACAAGAAGGTCCGTTTCAGGCATGGCTGGACCCAGATGCCCAGGTGGCGTCCTCAGGCTCGGAGACTCTCTCTGCCTTACTAAATGGTTGTACTGCTCCTGCACAGGGCTCACACCACAGAACTCCTGGCCCAGTGAAAATGCTCGCTGCTCTGCGTTCTGGGCCAAGCACGGCCAGGAAATCAAGGGCAGTGAAAGGCAGTCTCAGGCTGATTTCCTGGCTCTGGGCTCACCCTCAGCCAGCTACTGCAGCCAGAGTGGTGGGGCTCAGAGAGGACGCATGCACCATGTGCCAATCCTTCCCACTGACCATGGGGTCATCCCGAGAATGGGAGAGGTGGTTACTGCAAGACCCAGGTGGGAGCAAGCACTGTGAAGGTGCCACCACCCAGGGTGAGGCCAGGCCGAGGACAGAGGGGCTGACTGGGCAGCTGGACCGTGCCGAGTCACTGGCCTGCACTGCTCCCGCCCAAACGCTCGGCTCACATATGCTCTTAAAGCACAAGCGAGCCACGGGTGTGTGTGTGGGTTGTGTGTGTGCCCCCAGCACAGCACACCAAGGGACACTGGATACTGAAGTACCTGTACCTAGCAGGAGATAAGAGCAAAGGGACAGAAATACTGCTCTTGTAAAATAAAGACCTCTTACAATAAGAACCACAGCGCAGGGGAGAGGCTGGCTCAGAACCTGCTCCTGCTTCCTTCTTCCCAGACAACACCATGGTTTGTTCCAGTGACATCTGCTGGCCGCAGTGACGATGGCTTTACAGAAGCAGTGTGCTCCCCTGCCCTGCACATCCTGGCCCAGGACACGAGGCCCCACTCAGAACAAGTTGTGAGGAGCGGCTTCCAGGAGAAGTTCCTCTCACAAACAGACCCAAACGAAGTGCCACTCCTGAGTCTACATCAGACACAGACAGCTTGGGGTTCTGCTGTTGTGTGACCAGGAGCACGGCCATCTCCTCCTCCTCTTTCTCCTCCATTTCTCTTTATTGGACACCACCAGTGTAGTGGGAGAATTTCTAGAACACCCTAGTCCCTGGTGCAGAGATGAGATCGTCCAACCCGAACAACAGCTCTCGAAGAAGTCTGCGCCCAACAGCGGCCACGCCGCATGCTTCCTCGGTCTTGGTTAACGCCCGGCGGAGGCCAGCCAGGCTGTTTCACCACCACTCAGTGTGAGCTGCTCCTTGGCAAAGGTCTTCCAGTACCACCACTCTACACATCTGTGGCACACTCCTTAGCTTCTACCTGCTTTTCTCCCTTCAACGGGATAATGACATAAATTTAAATAAGGTAACTGCTGACCCTTCCAGAGATGCGTTCGTGACAGACGTTCTCAGAGCTGTCGTCTCCGAAGCAGCATCTCTCACTTCCCATTGCTGCTCTGTGGGAGTCACCACCGGCACGAACGCCACTGTGCGTCTGTCTGTCGGTACGGGTCCTGCCAGACGTCAGGAAGGGGGAGTGGGCGAGCAGAAAGGCTCAGGTCCAGATTTGTTTTGCTTGGAAACAACCAGACTCGGGGACAGCCTCGGAGTCTCACCGGCTCATTCTGCTCTAGTGATGCTGGTCGTGATGGTTCAGCCCTGTGCAAAAATCTGTCAAAGCTTGATGCAAATAAACAGGACCCAGGAAAACTGACACCTGGGAAGAAACTGCTCCTGACACCTCAGTCCGTTTGTGCCTTCATGAGTCACACAGCATGAGACCCACGCCCATCTATGCCTATGATAAATGTACATGGGCACCCATGGAATACACAGCATCGTTTAACGCTGATTGGGCTGATCTTAGTAACGGGTCAGAGTAAGCTCACTAGAATCAGCTGTGTGTCCTTGCACATTTGGGGACTTTGCTTTCCAAGAGAATACAGGCAAACGTGGACACGAGGCCACGCAAGTCACTGCGCTATATGAGTTTAAATGACTATGTGCTATTGTTAGAACTCTTTGCTACCCTTGCTTTTTGCTTGATTTTGGCTGTTTGTTAAACCCTGTGTGAGAAATTTTTACAAGGTTTTCTCCTTGGAGCCTGAGGTCTGAAAAAAATCATCCTATTCTCCCTGAGGGCAGGAACTATGAATCACACCGTGCTTGTTTCCTCCTGGCTGAGATTCTGGGTTGTGTGGTCAACAGATCCATTCAATGCTTCAACTTCATGTTTCCATCTACTCTTTGTTTACGGCCAGTTCAAAGTTCCATACCAAAACAATTATCATCAAAATGCCACATTCTGATACCTTGGGGAATTTGAAAACAAGCCTTACAGAATCATGAGAATTCTTAAAAGTTCAAAGTAACCAAGGCTTTTTAAGGAAAATTAAATTAATTTTTCAAAACAAGACCTACAAATGTTAGTACACCGCACTTTAATTAGCTGTAACATTTTTTGCAGGTGTGGAGGTGACTTCTGCAGTAGTGTCAGGTCCCTGTGTATGCTCAAAGATGGACAGTGAGTTACACAGAGTCCAAAGGATGATACCTAACACCCTGCTGCCAATGAAAATGAGTGTCCAGAGTGAAGTGACATGTAAAACTCCCAATACTTTTTGAAAAAAAGTCAGAAAAATCTTCTGTACTTTCACACTGAAACTCTGGAAGACTATTTACCAAAAACTTTTGCAGATACGTTTTTAGTACAAAAATGCCCAAGTGCATGAGCCTAACTAACATCATAGCATGAAACAGAGACGGCTATACTGGCAACTTAAAATTAAACAGGTAAGGGACCAGGGATTTAGCTCAGTGGTCCAGCCGCCTGCATTGCAAGAGCAAGGACCTGAGTTTGATTCCCGGTATCCCCCCCCCAAATTAAAGTAAATTAAATTTAAAAAATAAACAGATAAGAGCAGATTGCATTGCCCCAGAGAACCTCACAAGGAGCCCAAGCATCAGTCACATCTTCCTCCAAAGAGGTTTCTGACACTGTGTGAGCCATACACATCCTTTCTCTAACGTACACTGAAACTCCACAAGGGCAAAACTCGCTACATCCTATGGCTCCCCAGCTGGACGACAGAGTGCTCGTCAGAGACTATTGCAGTTGGCCAGCCTCTACCTCCTTTTCCCAAGACTTTGTTTCTGTCCTTTCTCTTCTCCTTTTCTGGGAACTGCTTTCTGTATGTTCTTGAGATTACCCAACCTTTCTCTTGTGACCTTCATGCAGTACTGTTCTCGACAAACAGCTGACCTCACGCCCCAACTCTCTGGTGGTTCTGCCTATAAAACTGCTCTGACATCTGAAAGACCCTAGAGCATGCCTCAGCTGCCTGAAATTTGTGTCTCCTGAGTTGTAACTCTGATCAGCTCCCCAAAATTGTGTTACTTAATCACTTTGTCCCTCTGATTCTCTTAAGGGTTAACAAAGACTTGTGCTTTCTGGGAATTTTACTGTACATTTTATTTATTCATACATTCACATACATACATACATCTATATGAATAGCAATTTTAGTAGGACACTTCTTAGTGAGTTCAAAATCATCACTTTGGTCCATCAGTTAAGCATAATTTTCTCTTCCTCCTGTCTGCTGATAATGTCTGAATGATGGAATGGATCTTTCCAATCTCCTGATGTCACTACTAAATTAGAAGAAAAATCTTTTCTTAAAGGTATGTGGCAGTGTTAATTTCTATCTGAAGCAACAGGATTGAAAGAACTATCAATGTAATAATGTTGTTTACCCAAGATATAAGTAACTTCTTCTAAAGTTTTAAAGTCCTACTTTACTTAGCTCCCTTTGCTTTATTGAGACGTGACTGAAAAGTATAAACTGTATATTTTTATCATGTGCAAAGCGACATTTTGACATCCATATACATTGTGAAATCATTACCACAATTAAGCTAATTTGCAAGTCCATAACCTCACAGAGTCACTGAGTTTTTTTTTTTTATTAGTGATCTGAACTCTTATTTATGGTCTTAGTAAAGTTCAAGCACATAATACATTATTATTATCTATAACCTCCATGCTGTATATTAGGTCTTCAGATATAATTCAACCAAAAACTGAAACACTTTACAGTTGGGCCAGTGCCTGCTCAAATCATTCACCTGCCAGCCCCTGGTGACCTCCCTCCTTCTCCTCGTTTTCTATTAGTTTGATTCATTTGGATTCCCATACAGGCTAGAGATCATGTGGTATTACCTCTCTGTGCCTTAGCGTAGCATTGCCCGGGTCCATCCATAGTGTTACTAGGTGAAATTCCTTACATTTTTAAGGCTGAGAAATATTTTATTGTAAATAGGCACAAAATATCTCCTTTATCACTTCATCCTTCATTGGACACTTAGATGGTTTTCATACTTGACTATCAACAACCTACAAATGAATGTTTACCAGTAATCTTCATAACTGTCAAAACTTGGAAGCATCCAAGGTGTCCTTCAGTAGAAAGATGGATAAATAAGTGCTCACTTTGGCAGCACATATACAGATGGATAAATAAAATATAGTAACCTATGTATGGAATATTATTCATTGATAACAAGAAATTACCTATCAAGTCATGAAAAG